TATGCCTTGTATTGAAAATAATCGACCACTTTATACAAGTGGAAATTAATACTTTATGTAGTTTTTATATGTTGTAATATTTCTTCAAATAAATCTCTCCTATAAATTACATGCTGGGGAGAGCTCTCTTCTTCCTCCCCCCCCTGGCTTTTCTCAGCATCTCCCAGCCCTGTGGAGGAGGTTGGGGCCTGACTCCAAGTGGGGGGGACAATGCTGGCTCTAGGCTGTGCTGCTGAAGACAGCTTCTGGGCCACAACCTCCTTTCTGGCCATAATAGGTGCCATGGAGCTGCTAGCAGAAGAGATGTTCCTCCAGCCCTTGCAGGGTGCAGGGCAAAACCACCCCCAAGTCTCTATAAGAACATAACTGCTGTTTACTGGGTCAGACCACAGGTCCATCTTGCCCAGTATCCTGTCATACAGCAAGCAAAGGCTGGAAGGTGGGGGTGAGCAGGTCTGACTAGGGTCTTTTTCCACTGTTGCTTTCTTGTAGCCTCCAGCATTAAGGTCCAGGAAGGTCTGATTCAGAGGCTGTGCCAGTTGCTCCTGGGTTCGATAGCAATCAATGCCCCTTTCCTCCAAGGATATCGCCCCTTGTGAAGCTCAGCTAAACTGTCAGCTTCTGCTGCATGTGTTGGCAACAAGTCCCACCCTTTCATGACATGTTGGGTGGAAAAGTACTCGTTAGTTTTAAACTTGCAAGCGGCTCGTTTCACATTGTGACCCCTTGTTTTTGTCTGCTGAAGATGATCCCTGTACACCCCTGCCCCCCCTCAAGTGTCTCTCTTCTGAACTGAGCAGGCCTAGCCTCCTGAGTCCGCCCTCACAACGAAGTCCCTCTAGACCTCTCATGCTTACTGCCCTTCTCTGAACCTTGTCTAGTCTTTCTATCTCGTATTTGAGGTGCTGGGACAAGAACTGAGTGCACAGTGAACTTACGCAGGGATCCGATGACACTTCCCGTTCTAGGCACGATGCCCTCCTTCAGAACCCCTTAAAAAGTCCTCTGCAGGGGTCAGGACTTGCCTGCTCCTCGGGGTGGTTCCAGCTGTTGCCCCGGGCCGGGCTCTAGCTCTGCCCTGGGCTGCAGTTGCCTCCTGAGGTTCCCAGTAGCCCCGGCTCCTGGTTTGTGCTGGCTGGGCCCCGAGCCTGCCCTCACCCCCTTTTAACTCTTTCGTGCCGTGGAAAATAACATTCACGTGGGCTGAAACTGGGGCGGAACCTGGCCTGACCACGAGGCCTGCCAACGCGCGGGGGGAGAGAACTACAGCTCCCAGTATGCAGCGGGGCCCGGGGGCGGTGCTACAGTTCCCAACATGCATTGCGACCCCGGGGTCGGTAGCTAGTAAGCTTGAGATCCTTCAGGACTACACTTCCCAGAATGCACTGCGGGAAGCCGGCAGTTCCTGCAGGCCCCTCAGCTCCCAAGGCTGCCCCGGTGATTCCTCCCCTATCTCCTTCCGGCCTCTCTAGGCGCGTGGGCAGTGCTCGCTGGTGAGGCCCTTCTGCTTCCGGTTTGTGGCGCGAGGCGATCGGTGGCGGCTACTGCTACTGCTGCACAGGGCGCGCGATGCCGACGGGAGACTACGAGTGAGACCAGGGGGGTGCGGGCTGGGCCTGGGGCGGAAGTGAGGGAGGGGCTGGGGGGTTGAGGGAGATGTGGGGGGTGCGGTGGCCTAGTATGGGGTGGGAGCGGGGGGGCCGGAGGCTCGTGTCTGCGCGGCTCTAACTCTCGCTCCCGCAGCTCGAAGCCTAGCTGGGCCGACCACCACGGGGCTGTGGGCCGACTCCCCCCCTCCCCCCAGCCAATACCTTCCGTCATTGGGACCCCCCGGCTCCTTTGCATCTGGCCTTGCAGTCTCCCAGTGCTGGTCAGGTTCCAGCCTAGCCCAAGGGCCCGTGTGTTGCTCTAGGGCCCGTGTGTTGCTCTAAGGCCCATCGAGGAAGCTGGGTGCCTGCCCCTGCCCTGGTTCATGGCCCGTCCCCGTGACAGGGCAAGAACCCTTGCCCCCACAACATCCAGCCCCCACCCCAGGCCCCTTATCTGATGTGGTGGTGGTCCCACAGTACAGGTGACCTGCTGGGGGGTGATAATCCCCTCCCCTCAGACCCACTTTCTGCTCCCCTCCAACTTATTTCCTGAGCAACCTGCATTTTTGTAGCTTGTTGAGACCTGGGGGGTAGGGGGTGTAGATCCTGTTACTAGGGCACCCCAAGCCCCACAGAGCTAAGAGTTCCTGTCATTGCAGTGGCACCCTGTAGGATCTCCAGGGATGGGGCATGAGCACACCTGGTGCTGGGTAGCATTGTGGCACCCTGGCCCTAGCCCATAGGAGTTCCCTGTTCCTTCCCCCAATAAGTGACTCAGCAGCAAGGCCTAGCCCTGCTCCTCTTCCCCAGACAAATGCATCACCAGCGAGCTGCTCAAGGACATCCCCCTCACTGCGGTGCTGGGTGGGGACCTGGGTGCCAGTGTTGCCGAGGCAGAGGCCAAGGCCGAGTCAGAGCTGCTGAAAGATGGTAAGAGCCAGGCTGGCTGAGGAGTGGGGATTGGGCACTGCCCCAGGGAGCCCCATGGGTCCAGTCATCTCACTGCCTGCCCTGTCCCCTTAGGTCCTCTTCCATCCCCAAAGGAGCTAATCAATGGGAACATCAAAACTATCACTGAGTACCGTGAGGAGGAGGATGGGCGCAAGGTGAAGGTGAGAGCTGGAGGGGTTAGGCTAGGGCTGTCTTGGGGACTTTTTCCCTGGCTGGGGCAAGATTCCCCCACCCTGAGCCATGAGGGGCATGTTAGAAAGTGCATGATGGGTTGTGGCCCTTGTGTCCACTGCTCCTGTATCCTGCATGTGGGGGCGGTCATGCTGGTGGGGCACTCCCTGTGTCCTTGGGATGAATGCTACCCCCCTCATTTCTCATGTGGTGAGTGATGGGGTCTTTCTCCCTCAGATCATCCGTACCTTCCGTATTGAGACTAGGAAGGCTTCTAAGGCCGTGGCCCGCCGCAAGGTGAGTGGGCTCCTTGTTGGGGCAAGAGGGGTTAAAATGGAGGGGGTGGGCATTGGAGGGTTGGAATGAGACAGGGCTGGGCCTTTCCCATACCCAAGCTGCTTGTCCTGCCCTGCTCCCTTTTCCCTCCCACATCTGTCCATGTCCATTTCCTCCCTTTTTGGTGGCATTTCTGCCCCCATGCCCAGGGCTGCTTCTGGTTTGGGTTGAGCCTGTTACATTTAACAGATGCCACCAGGGAGCACTTCTGCCCAGTCTCCCAGTTAGCTGGGTGGGATGAGGTGGAGGGAGATCCCAGCTTGACCCCTCCCCTGCCTGCCTCTCCCAGAACTGGAAATTTCCCAGCTTGACACCTCCCCTGCCTGCCTCTCCCAGAACTGGAAGAAGTTTGGCAACTCAGAATTTGATGCACCTGGCCCCAGCATTGCCACAACAACTGTGAGCGACGATGTCTTCATGACTTTCATCACTAGCAAGGAGGTGAGTAGGGGTTGGGGCCAGGTCCTAGGGCAGGGGGAGGGACCATGGGCATCCAGCTGCTCTGCTTGGGGCTTGGGAGCTCCCTGCAGAGGAGTAGTTCCAATGCTGATGCCCCCACGCCTGCTGCAGGACCTGAACTGCCAAGAGGAGGAAGACCCCATGAACAAGCTGAAGGGCCAGAAGATTGTATCATGCCGCATCTGCAAGGGCGACCATTGGACCACACGTTGCCCCTACAAAGACACACTGGGGCCTATGCAGAAGGAACTGGCTGAGCAGCTGGGGCTGTCCACCGGCGAGAAGGAGAAGCTGCCTGGAGGTTTGGGAGTGGGGTTCAGGGGTTTGGGTCCCAGAGGCTCTGGGCTCTTCTAACTTTGCTTCCCTGCCCTTGTAGAGCCAGAGCCAGTGCAGGCAGCACAGAGCAAGACAGGGAAGTATGTCCCACCCAGCCTGAGGGATGGGGCCTGCCGCCGTGGGGAGTCTATGCAACCCAACCGCAGGGGTAAGTCCTGGTAATCAGACCCACGGGCCCCTCCTGGCCCTGACTCGGATGCCTGGATCCTGCTTCCTGCCTCAGTTTCCCTACTGGGCAAAGAACTGCCAGGATGGAGCTCAGACCCTGTCCTGGGGGTTCATTCCCATCGCCTGGGCCTGGCCCTGACTCTCCCCTCTTTGCAGCCGATGACAATGCCACCATCCGTGTCACTAACCTGTCTGAAGACACGCGCGAGACGGATCTGCAGGAGCTGTTCCGCCCCTTCGGCTCCATTTCCAGGATCTATCTGGCTAAGGACAAGGCCACTGGGCAGTCCAAGGTGCAGCAAGAGGCCCTCTGGGGTGGTGGGTAAGGGCTTGGCTCAGTTCAGCTCTAACCATGGGCTTTTCACCTAGGGCTTTGCCTTCATCAGCTTCCACCGGCGGGAGGATGCCGCCCGTGCCATTGCTGGTGTCTCCGGCTTTGGCTATGACCACTTGATCCTCAACGTGGAATGGGCTAAGTGAGTCCGGGTTCTGCTGGGGGGGTGGGGAGAAGGTGCCCATGGGGAAAGCTGGAGTTAAGGCTGCTAGGGCTGCTCCTCACTGTCTCTCTATCCCCACAGGCCATCCACCAATTGAGCTGGTGCCACACAGGCCCTGGCCAACGGCGCCTCTGGGGAAGACGCTGATCACTAATAAAGGTTTATCCCAGTCTGGCACCACGTGGCTCTTCTCCTTCCTCCACCCACCCACGCACACCCCTGCTCAGGCTGACTCAGCATGGCAGCACGAGTCAGGCGCATGGGCTGTGTGGCTCAGCCATTTGCCCTGGCAATGGGAAGAGCTGCTGCATCTAGGTGGTGGGAGGCGGAGAGTGCTGAGACACACAGAGCAACACCAGGTAGCTGCTCAGTTGCTGCTTTAATGCCTGGCTCCGAGTGCTGCCTGCCCTTCCCTCTTGGTCTCATGGCCCCTGGCTGAGCGGTGGCTGCAGTGGAGCCCTGGGCCAAGAGAGCTGTACACTCAGGGCAGACGCCATCGCTGTTTGCTTACGGGTCCTTCCTGCCCCCCTGCAGCTCCAGAGCTTCCCCCTGGGGGGGACCATGGGGGCACTGGGCACAACAGCGGCGCAGGCTGTTGGCCAGAGGGGCGTAGAGCAATGGGTGGGCACAGATGTGGAGCGTGACCAGCACTTTGCCAAGCTGCAGGGCAGCATGCACCTGCTGTGAGAACCTACAGTCCTCTGTGGCTGGTGCCCACAGCCGGCGCCACAGGTTGAGGTTGCGCAGGACATGGTAAGGCAAGTAGGAAACGGCATAGAGCCCCGCACCTACACCCACCAGCACCCATGCCTGCCGCCTCTCCCCCTGTGCCAGCCCTGGGCTACGTAGCACAGCACGAGCCACAGCCCCCTAACAGAACAGTGTCAGCAGCCCAGGCAGGGCACAGCCAACCCCTGCCAACACCAGGCTGTAGGGGAGGTAAGAAGGCAG